TATGATGGAATTATTTATTTATTGTAACAGTTGTTCCTGTAATRTTAAGCAGCACTCCAAAACAATAATCTTGATGAATTATAAAAGTATTGAAAATATGGTTTGAAATTATTTTAATAGTACCTATTACATGTTAGTTGGTCACTAACCTATAATGGTCTCTTAAATTTTAAAGCTTACCTCTATAAACATTMATTTTAATAAATTCTTTATATTTTCAGGTTATTTTTATAATAAGTTATGAGTTATGACGAACTTTTTCAATTTTAAAAATCGTTTTTCTTAGAAAAACATACCTACTAGCTACCATTATACTTATACACGTTTTTGTCCACTTTAAATCTAAACATGTATTTATAATATAGTTGAATTTTAAGTGTAGTTTATATTATAATGAATTAATTTACATATTTATTCATGGCATAAGAAACAAGTCTGGAATTATGATGATGAACCGCTCTTAAATTGTGGATAGTTAAATGGTTTATCAATTTATCATTATTTATACAAGTTGACTACCGTTTCGTATAGATACTAACAGAGAATATCTACCTTGAAATACCACCAATAAAGCATATTAGTTGCATCATAGGMATCGTATCGACTGTGAAAGTAGTTTTTAATTTTTCGCAACAACATTTACACCAAATACATTATACATATCTATTAATAAAAAAATACGAACGAACTTATCGTGCATTTTTGAATCAAATTGAATAATTAACATAATGTAGGACTTGTAAAGACATAGAACATATAATTAGGTACCCATGTTATATATTTGTATTTAGATAATAACTATATATGTGTCAAATAAACATCAATCTTGGAATCACGTTATTCTCGGAATGAGAACGAAATTATGATCACATCTATCAATTAAATGATTACTATAAGAATATAAATTAATAACAATATTGCATCACACTGTGTTTGGGTGGGGAAAATTGGCTTAAGAAAACGGGTTTAATGCTTGAATTTTTATATATTAGCTTTAACATACAAATACAATAAGCATTATCTGTCTGTCGTTTGAGTAGATAGGTTTAAAACTTTCTGTTTAAACATTTATTCTTGTRMTTTTACATTTATACATGATGAACGGACACGCTACAGTGATAGAAAATAACTTGGGGGTAAGTTTTTCAATTAAACAATATTCTATTTTTATAGTTGATACAATAGGTACAAATCTTATTTCATATTTCAAATTAAATTATTGTTTTTTTTTTTTTAGAATATTTATTATTTATTTTATTTTCTATTGAAGTTTATTGGTTCGTTAACCGTTTATAGTGAAAATATTTACTCTACGTTAGYAGTTTTACGACAATTCAATTAAAACTAATGTATAATTATTATTCAATATTTTTTTTTGTGTATRGCTGATTATTTTGGCTTATGCTATACGTTATAGTTATGATGACCAGATATTAAAAAAGAAAAAACAGTACATAATAATATAGGCTAATGAATATTATGTGTATATAATCATATATTATATCAATATAAATACCTAACAATATAACATCAATTTTATTTAAACTCATTTATTTATTTTTAAACATAAATATRCATCACAGATTTTTAATCTTACTAAGAGTGAAAAATAAAATATGTGTTTTTATATAACTAAACTCATGTGACTTTCATGAAAAACAAAACTTATATGTAATAATACATACTTAATAAAAAAACTGTGATAATAGATTGTTATTATTATTCATCGAGATAGATTTCGATGTTATTATTTTTATATTAATCATGAAGACTAGCCTTCATGATATTATTATTAGTAAAAATCTAAAACCATGRTTACAATATTAACACTATATAGTCTATATCAAAGTATTAAAACTTTTWAAAAATAAGTACATTGAAGTGTAGGTACTTCGACCATTTATTTAGGACAGTAGGACATGTTACCAAAAAAACAGTAGTGTCCTTATAAAATAAGTACGTCTGGTCATCATACTATAAAAAATAATTATTTTTTTGTTACTTACTGCTTACTTAATTTTTATGTGGCAAGAACTATACGTGTAATATGTAATATTATTTAAACTCTTAAACTTTTTAAATCGGTTTTGATAATAATGAATTTAAATAATTCATTTATCTACGTTCAATAAAGTACTAATGAATAAATGACTATATTATGTATTAATATTAATTTGGACATTTGGACATTTGCAAAATTGATTTCGTTACGTATGATTTATAGGTAGGTATAAACATTTTATTTTATCACGCAGCAAAAATACACTAAAGGTCTGTTCTTATACATTGATTATCCATTTATAGTTAATATATACTCATAATACTATCCATAAGTTTTAAAATTAATGATGGTAGGATTTAGAAACTACGATGAAAAWAAAAATTACTATTTATAAATTATCTATATTACCTTATTTCCTTATTACATACTGAGAAGTAATTATTGTATTATTTTGTTTGGTTAAATTATGCCTACTAAAAAGAAATTAAATATTATTTAACTTTATTATTGTTTCCAAAATATATTGTGCGTTATGATGGGACATCAAGGCATTWATGATTTTGTGAATCTGTTTTTGAGATGGAATTTATTAACATCGATAGAAATAACTATATTTTAAATGAATACCTATAATATAATAATAATATTACATTCTGTAATTATATAACATGTGTGAAACGAGTATATACGAACAAGCGTTGTATTGATTTAAAATAATTCATATTTAGTTATATTCTGACATATAAATAATTAACTAAAAAAAAAAAACTTTATCATTATTTTAGACACCTAAGATACGCAAAGGATCATATATAGCTCCTATTGATGAAGAATCCATCACATTGATATTTTCACCGGGAAATGATAGCGTCGGAACACTGGCTAAGGCATTAAAACTCTTCAAGGTAATAAATTTACAGCTTACGTATAATAGCTATTTCACATCACATTAATTTACTAGTTCAATTAAGTAAGACGTTTGACTATTAACAGATAATAACACTGTTAATGGATCGAAAGTACATGTAYATGATACCAATTGGCACTTGTTTATTCGAGATATATTTTATAGTATGTCTTAACGTAGCGAAGGACTATGCAATAATAAATTATTATCGTCGCATAACTGACAGTGAATTAACATGAAGTGTAAAATGTGTGATTTCCTATTTGTGTATTTCAAATCGTTGTATAGTACGTGAAAAAAGCTGACCAGTTACCTATAAATAATAATACTAGTTTTTAAATATTCAATAATAGAAGAAAATTCTCAGTGATTTCGATTTTTATGTCCTGTACAGGAATACAACGTGAACCTGTTGCATATAGAATCCCGGTCGTCGGACAGGATACCGGATCAGTATGAGTTTTTTGTCGAATGCGCGCCCGGGGGTAACGTCCCAAAGGTGGTAGAAATATTGAAGGGCACAATGACATACTGTTCGGTAGTGTCCAGGAATAAACTCAAGGACAGCAAAGTGAAAGACAGTAAGTGTTTTCGGGATGATTGTAGGGGGAGGGGCGGATGGAGGGATATGGACTCACGCGAAATGTAAATTGTGRTTCTTTTATAACCTCGGTGGTCGTCTTGTAGATTACGTTCCGTGGTTCCCGTTGCGGATTAGGGACTTGGATAAGTACGCCAATCAGATCCTATCGCATGGAGCTGAACTGAACGCCGATCATCCCGGGTTCACGGATCCTGTGTACAGAATGAGGAGGAAGTATTTGGCAGATACCGCGTTGAATTATAGACAGTATGTAGYCGATAGCATAATGTTTATACAACTTACTAGTACCTAGTAAAAAATTAATTCAATTATTATATAAATTATACAATTACAATAATTTCGTGAATTATTATTAAAAAATATCACACATTATGTATTATCAATATAATATACAAGTGTCAAGTATAACACCGTACTTAAAAAGTAAAACTTTTTTGTTAACAGTGGAGATCCATTACCTTATATCGAGTACACCGAACAAGAAGTGAAGACTTGGGGTACCGTGTTCAGAGAACTAACTAAATTGTATCCGACGCATGCGTGCAATGAATATAATCACGTGTTTCCCCTGTTAGTTGAAAACTGTGGTTATCGAGAGGACTGCATACCGCAGTTCGAAGATATTTCCAATTTTCTTAAGGGTAATAAATAATAGTAATTATAATAATTACCGTATATGTCTTGGGTTATGATGTGTGCAATATAATATTTTGAAAATTAAAACTTAGAATTTGATTTTAATACTGTAGAATATAGATAGAAACATAGAATACTGATAATATCTATTATATTTGCATAAAAAAATCATTTGATGAAAATGAATGTTTTTTTTTTACGTATTGTAATATTTATAATTTTATTTATTGCAGACAGTACCGGATTTACTTTAAGACCAGTTGGTGGACTTCTTTCGTCCAGAGACTTCTTAGCCGGATTAGCTTTCAGAGTATTCCATTCCACACAATACATCAGACACCATAGTCGACCATTATACACGCCTGAACCGGACATTTGTCATGAACTGTTGGGCCATGTACCGTTGTTCGCTAACCCAGCTTTTGCACAATTTTCTCAAGAAATTGGACTGGCGTCGCTTGGCGCCCCCGACGATTACGTTAAAAAATTGGCCACGGTAAATATACATGSACATTGCAATGCGTATATATATGCACATCATTCACATCATGCACTTGACCATAAAAACTATGTTTCGTTGTGCTGAAATGATTACGTAGATTTATTTAATAACTGCAGTCACGCATTGGTTTTCTTTTATGAATCGAAACACCGTTAAAATTTGATAATTTAAATTCTATGATACAAGCTTGGTATCGACTACAATCCAATTTAGATTTCACTTATTTTAAAAATAAAACCTAGGCATATTTCGTATTCAGCCCACCAAAACATAGGCCATTGGTTGATAGTTATAAACCTGTTTTTTACACCAGAGGGAACACGGTTGGTTTGGGACAGGTGGTATGTGGGGYTAGGATTTGTCAGTAAAAACYTGGRTGAATACCCATACTAGTGACGAYTAYTGATGCTTGACCTCAATACGAGTTAACGAGTTAGAGGCTATAGCCAATTTTACCACGCCAGRCTCCAAAACCTAGGTAYATTAAAGCAGTTAATACGTTAACATATTTGAAAACGGAATTTACCATATGCAAACACGAAAAATTTTCTTTATGGTTATAATTATTTATGCAAAATAAAAAAATCTATATGCTATCACGCGTCACATTATTATAACCTACTTACCACAATAATCAGTTTTTTATCATTAAAATGTAAGCATAATCTCACTCAAATAAAATATGTTTTCRTCAATAATTTCATTATACGAGAATAGGCTTAATATGAAAATGATTATTTCCCATCGAATCGGCATGACACGTTTAAACGCTTATAGTTTACTGTGCATTACCTACCTACGATGTATATATATATATATACATATGTAATATTATATTATTGTGACCGGGTCATAATAATACTATTATAGTAAATAATAAAATAACAATAATATATACCTACCTATATATTATATACAGATAGTGCGTAACGATCAAACCGAACACAATATATATTATATAGTTTTCACGTGCAATTTATAGATTATAAGAATTCGATATCGTAATATCGTTATGGTGGCGTATCGACTGAGATATTAATTTTCTTTTATAACGCACAAAAATATATGTGCACGCGTTACATGGTCGTTCATGCGTTTTTGTAAACTGTCACAAACAMAATATGTACATTTTTATAGGGCGATCAACCAAGCTCACACACCCCCATTTATCCTTTAACAATGAATTTATTCAAATTATGATTTTTGGAACTTTTAAATAATTTAAGGGCCATATTAACAAATACTTAGATTTGTCTTATACTCTTGTACACAAGGTGATTATCAACTTCTTTTCTATCACCTTTTTTCCTGTTAGTTGTTAATCAGGTGACTTTTCTGAAGTGWTTGATGTGTCTGATTCGAAATTAGAAATAAACGTAATAAATAGTAGATTCAAAACTAAATCTATTTTATTTTTGTAAGACCATTTAATGATTGTAATTATCCTTAGTATATACTTACATTAAATTAACGCAGAAACTACTAATACACATTTCTGTTTGGAATTCATCTTCATTTTTAAAAAATCACGTGTTTAAAAATATATAGGTGGTTAATATTTAAGTTGGTTCTCATTTTTAAAAAAAAACTGTACTACTGTGACATGTCTGGCCTGATACTGTACTCCTTTATTCCTTTTGTGGTGTACAAGTTCTAAATTATTCAAAATATTGTACTKAAATATACCCACTTTAATATTCCAAAAATCATAATAATCAGAAAAATCTGAATATATTCATTTGAAAAAAAAAAAAAATGGGGATATAATATGTTACGCTTTTGCTAAATAACGACGCTGTGGAATATAAAAAAATGTGCCTAAAATGTATCTATTTTTATAATATATTTTGTTATGTATAACATCATGCGCATCACGTTGCAGTGTTATTGGTTCACCGTCGAGTTCGGACTGTGCCGTCAGAATGGCGAGCTGAAGGCGTACGGCGCCGGACTGCTGTCGTCGATCGGTGAACTCCAATACTCGTTGTCAGGCAAACCGGAGCTGAAGTCTTTCGATCCCGAGGTGACCGGCAACCAGGATTATCCGATCACCGAGTATCAGCCCACATATTTCGTCGCYGAGAGCTTCGACGACGTCAAGGACAAACTTATGTGAGCAGCATTATTAAAAAACAAAAGCGTTAACATTAGTAGAATTATTAGAAATATCAGCACCGATACACTCCACTACTCTGACCACTATCAGCAGCGAATGGCATTTTCGTATACTTCTCGAGTGTTTTATGATATGTATTTTTTGTTTTGTTTGATTACAGAAAATTTGCAAAGACGATACCGAAACAATTCGGAATCCGCTACAACCCGTACACGCAGAGCGTGCAGGTGCTGGACTCGAAACTGCAACTGCAAGAGCTGGCCAACAACATCAGCAACGAGCTACAGATATTGCGCTACACGCTCAACAAGATGGATTGAACACTAAAATGCATTTTTTTTTACCTGTGTATTATGTGTATTATGTGTATAATATGATAATAGTGTAATGTCCCATTATTAATATTATTATTATTATTATTGTATTATTATTATTATTATGCCGACGTTGCTGTTATAATGTTGTTGCAGTTGTGTCGTATTTATCGTAATTATATTGTTAGATTGTTACTATCGTTATTTATTGTACGTTGTCGTTTATACAATACGGTGCAGTAGGCGTCCGTCGGAAAAGGCGCATTTCCACAGCTCTGACAGCGATATACCGCGTTACGCAATCGCCCAACGCGAGTTACAACAGTTAATTGGGTCCAATTTCCACCTGTTATAATATTGCACAACTCAAAACCACCCTTGACTAATTTTGTTTAATGAAACCGAACGAGCGCAATGTTTTCACGACAAAAAACATTCCTTCACGCTACGAAAACCTAGTTTTAGCGAAATATACACACAAACACATTACACATATTATACACAATGTTTGTTCGTTACTGTGTTCAAATTAGTTGTTGTGCCCATGTGATGGAATAACAATTTATCGAGACGGTGCGTATAATAACGTGTTATTTTTATTTACATTACAAAATATTGTATAACATATAACATTATTATCCTTTTGTGATGCAAACACGTACATATTATTATTACTATATCCATATGATAAGATAAATATTAACAACACATAATATAATAATATTATATTGTATTTTTTAAGTAATGTATGTCAATAACACAAAAAAAGTATACATAAATAAAATAATATTTATAAGTAAAAAAAAAAAAAAAAAATCATAACATTCTTATGGTATAAAGTTATTATAGTATTATTTTAACAATGGGTATATCGTGGCAAACGTAGACGAATAACAAGTTTGATCGCGTCAAGTGTTAATCATTGATCGCGTTCACTCACTTCACTCGGTCGTGCCAGCTGTGCCACCGTAATCAGCGATCTCCACCTTGCTGAACATTTCTTCCAACGGCACACCCTCGAGTTTCGGGACTGTCGCGGGCGCTGACGTTTCCTGTACGGCAGCTACGGGTGCCTTATAGTACTTGCTCAGTCCCTCCGCAGGCGCCTGCACGCCGTCGTTCCTCTTTACCAGATACCCTATGTGACCGCTGTGTCCGCCGTGACCGCCGTGACCGCCTCCGCCTCCTCCGCCGCCGCCCCCGTGACCGTCGACGCCGTGGTGATGCGAGTGCGCGTGATGACCCGAGTGCTTGTGGCCGTGCGATGCCTGAGCGTGGTGGGCGTGCGTGTGCTGTGACTTTCCGTGGTGCTCGTGCCCGTGGCCGAAGCTGCCGTGGTGCCCGTGCGAATGTTCGGCCTGCCCGTGGTGCTTGTGGTTGTGGTCCGCGTGTCCACCGTGCGCGTGCGAGTGCTTGGCGTGCCCGAGGTGCTTGTGCGTGTGACCAGCTGAGCCTTGGTGCTTGTGGCCGTGCTGACCGTGCAGCGTGTGCTTGTGCCCGTGTTCCGCATGCGCTACATGGTTGTGCGCGTGTTCCGCCTGYCCGTGATGGTTGTGCGCGTGTTCCGCCTGTCCGTGGTGCTTGTGGGAGTGTTCAGCGGCGCCGATGTGCTTGTGCGAGTGTGCACCAGAACCCACGTGCTTATGACCGTGTTCGGCCTTGCCGTAATGCGAATGCTTATGCTCCGCTGCGCCGTGGTGCTTGTGGTCGTGGCCCGCGTGGCCCGTGTGCTTGTGGTCGTGGTGTGCGTGACCGGCGTGTTTGTGATCGTGTTCGGCGTGGCCCACGTGCTTGTGGATGTGTTCCACTTTGCCCTCGTGCACGTGCCTGTGAATCACTTCACCCTTGTGAATGTGTTCCCCGCCACCGTGGCCACCGCCGCCGCCGCCGCCGCCACCGCCGCCTCCTCCACCATGTCCGTGGCCGCTGTGAGTGCTATGGCCACCCGAATGGTGATAAGATGACAGATCTCCACCCGACGAGAAGTCCCCATGGCCTAGATAACTATTAAAACCGAACGTCCGATCTCGTCATTAAACACATTACCAATAGTCGATTCTTTACCTGGTGCTGATATTCATTCACACTATTTCAAAATAATTGCCAAATAAATATTGAGGCCGTGTTTATAATATAATATTATGATACCAATGTAGAACATATTCATGAATTATAAAAAAAACAAATGACCTTTAAATAATAATTGTTAAAACACTAGAGTCATTATTACTATTTACTATAACGCAACTTATAAGTTATATATATACATAGGTACTACGATAAATGCTACTATTCCTCTGTTTTGGTTTCATATTTGATTCTCTGACAAGACAGAACGTATTGGTTAATTCCAAAAGTGTACGGTAAACGGAAAAGTTTTCTACGTTCAACGAATGATATTATTATCGCTTCGACAATATTTAACTCGTGTGTAAAGATATAGGCACCGGTAAAGAATATCTCAGGTAGATACTAAAAATAATATTTTATTATAATATATTATACAACAAATTCACCTTTCTTCGCCAAAAGAACCGTCGAAACAAAATAAAGCTAATAGAGTTAAGATGAACGCCCCGACAAGCTGAAACATTAACAATTTCAATTAATATTGTTTAAAGATAAATTTATTAATCTTTCACGATTACATATTTTATTAAGTGTAACCTCACACTGTAATTTTTTATTTGTTTAAGTCAAATTTAATGAATCAATAAAACATTAAATAATCGAATTAAATTTTTTATATATATAGGTACATTAAAACTGTGTTTTAAAATGCGTTGTAGCGTTATATTTTTCGTTTCTTAAAATATAAAAAAACATCGATACAAACCTTAACACATTCGTATTTTAGATATTACATMTAATTTAATTCTGTTTTATTTACGTATTTATTAAGTTCAACAAGAATGATTTCGAAAATTATTATTTAGGTATGAATTATTATAGTCATTACTAAATATTAATATTAGTTTTTTTTATAAATTATGCTATATTAACTATAATAAAAATCTATAGCTACTTATTTCAGTCATTAATTCTAATATTAATTTTTTTGGTATGAAAGTATAAAAACTTTGATTAGGTCAATTTTAATAAATCTTAAAAAAAGAATGTCTTTAAAAATATTAGTTTATTAACTTTATAATCTTATAATTTATACAGTTTAAGAAAAAAGAAAATCAGTAGTTGAAAATTTAAAATACTTAGTAATAGATACTCATGTTAATTTAGTATTGCAAGTCATCAAGACCAATATTTGCTTTGTGTATTGAATAAAACGTTCTTATATTTGCCTAGGTAGGTATTTAAAATAAATTCATTCAACAATAATGGAAAACATAAAAATGAATGATATTCAAAATATTGTTATAAGCTGTTAATTTGTTCATTTAATACCTGTCGTGCATTTCAGAAGATATTAAAAAAAATTGTTTATCTTGGTTCATGTATACGAGTGGTTAATTACAACATGTTTGGCAGTTGATATTGATTTTTAGTGACCGTGTTCAAGCTATCCAAATGAAAGAATACTACTTGGTTACATGGTAACATTATAGTTATTGTGGTCCACGAAATAGTAAATAAATAGTTGTACCCGTAAACTTTTAAGTCAACTTTTATGCTATAATCTAGTAGGTACGATTGCATCGTGATAAATTACTAATAAATAATCACTCTTCCTGTAAACAGCCAAACCACATTTTATTTTTAAGTAGAAATAGTATATTAATTAAAAAATAAATATTTTTTATGATGGCACCTAAGATGATAAACAGTACACCAAAAATATAGTTATAGACTACATAGTCAAACATAATATAAAATTAGAAACCAAGTTAATTAAGTAAAATGATATTATCTAGATCTTTAGAAAATAATTTATTACCTTCGTAATATCTTGTTACATTGTTAAACTGMCTTAATGAAATTAAAAGATACCTAGGTAAAGAATTGAACGGGAGTAGAAGACGGCAGCAGTCGAACCTTTTATTTAAATATCTAAAAATAAAAATGAACTTGGTTGACCAAACTCGCATCATTAATAGGTCCGAAATTACAGTAACAACTAAATATGGAAATTTTTATATTATTTTTTTGTCTTGGTTGAAAAAAAATGAATTATTGCATATCATAATAATATTATGTATTGATGTGCCTAATATTTTCAGAAGCACGTGTCCGCGCAAAACAGCTGTTGCAGTCGATGTATTAAACGGATAAAAAATAAATAGGACACGCATTAATATACATAAAATTAAATAATATTAATGTTGTATTTTACTGACCATCTCCTATGGGTGGACGACACTTGATTGCGCTTAGAGAAATACCATCAACGAACTGATAACGGTTCGAGAGAAAAAAAAACAATTCAAAACAACGTGGAACGGCGACGTTTCGTTACGATTTTGTTTTTATGTGCGTCTATGAAAACCAATAGATTTGGGGCGAAAAAAACACTCTCAACACAAACACCGCTCAGTAATAATAGACGTGTCGTACGGCAGCGCGTGCTGTTTTATGTAGGCAATTTTGTTCCGGTTCGTTTAAAGGTCTAGAGGGGATGATCTACCACGGACGCCTGTTGCAGCTTACGTCACATGCCGGTTCGCCGCTGCTGCTGCAGATGTGGTATTCCGTACGTAGGTATATAGTATGTAACATAATAATACGATGTATTTATATTATCATATTAAGTTTTTTTTTTTTGTTATTTTTAAATTGTATAATCTTTTTTTTTTTTAACATAGAAGATTACTCTCGATGGACGATAGGACTGTATGTAATGGTATTTCCAATATGCGCATATTATGCTTATTCCTGAGATAGCTTAATATTTGATATTCTTGCTACCGTCTAATTTACTAGCTAATACAAATATTTTCAATTTAAACTCTAAATACTTACTTAGTACATTTTTATTAAAAATGTTAAAAAAATATATATTTAATTTTCGATTTCAAATTTACTTTGTTATTGAGTAAGTCTAAATATCATAATTGTTAGTTCCTGAAACAGTGTATTATACCATCTACTCTAATGATATATTACCTATATAATATTGTATTATAATACTCTTTATAAGTTGATCTAAGTAGTATATAAAAAGCTTTTTAACATGATATTAACTATTTTATTAAATAATAATAAAAAAAATTATAAGAAAAGTCGAAAGTTTTTTAAAGTAAA